TACCATTTAGAGAGAACATAGGGAAAATTGCTCTTCTATACTATGAACTCATATGAACCCCTCAAAATCACTCTATCATCTTGCAAGCGTCATAGAGCAGCGCTTATACATCTTGATGGAAACCAGGCGCATTTACTGACAACCCAAATCTGAAGAATTCCTCAATCTGAATGTTATTGCTGACGTCTAGATTTCCTCTTAATATTCTGGAAGGACTGGATGTACAAGGCATAAGCAGTTTCACTGTTCTTTTTGATGAATCTGACAGCATATAAGGCATTTGAGATTTCATTGGTGCTAAAGCGGATGCTGCCGAACATGCGAACAATTTTGTCCATCAGTGTCGACATGTCTAGCCTGAAATGAGTCAAAACGGGCCGACCTGTTTTTCCTTCATTTACCCCTCTGTGCCAACGAGTCCAAGCAACCCGCGTCTCAGATGCGAAACGCGCCCGCTGACTGGAATGGAGAGACCTAACAGTGGGCACAGTCCGTCTCGGCCCGAACGGAGAGGTGAAAGGATCTTTGGCCCTATGTGGTACTCTGGATCGTCCGGCACGGGCCGGCTCTAGCGGTGAACAAACCAGGGCCGAGGAATTTTACTGGCTCCATTTTTTAATATGTCGATGCCCATCGCCAGACGGAGCTTAGGAATTTTTCATGTTCCGACGAGAAGTCTGACGTTGGGGAATATGAAGAGGAATCAAAGTGCTGAGTCGCAGCTTTATTTTGCGAGATCCATCACTTCAAGATCCGGTTAAATCCTACAGAAATAATGGGTTCAGACAGAAACGACACGTCATCGCTGGAAGTCATCAGACTCATCGTTACGGAGTGAAACATTCAGTGATGGATGAACATTTTTCTTTCTTAAAGCTTTAGCTTAACTTTTAGCTTAGCTTTAGCTTTAGCTTTAGCTTCAGCTTTAGCTTAAAGCTTAACCCGAAGGTTAGGAAAGCTTTGCAAACTTATCGCCGAAAGGAACATTTTAAATGTTCCCATGATTGGCACAGCCCTATATATACATATTTCTCCAAGGGGAAAATATTTCCTCTGAAGCGGACTAAAATGGCAATTCATAGGCATCATGAACGGCAAAAATGTATGATAATGAAATGAATTAAATTAAATTATGATTTTAATTAGCGGGATGTAATGGATTGAAAAAATGGATGTTATACTCTGTGATCCAATTGCAACCGTTGCATTGCCGTTTAAAACTACGTTATTGAAATAATATATTTGATTTTCAAATTTGAGAAATGAAATATTCAAATGAATATTTCATGTGTGTTATTGTAGCATGAATATACAGAACTTCTTCCTCAGCGAGTAAATTGCAATGAATATCTGTGTAGGATTCGTCGATAGCAGTAGAGGCGATAGCCGAAGAGGGACCAGAGCAGGAGGACAGGGGAATCCGAGATGACGCAAGGTGCACTCAATCCCCGCCGCGTACGGCTTGAAAGGCCCTGAACGAGCGGTGTTAGTCATTACAGGATTTGCGGTGTAAGGATCCAATTGTAAAATCCACTACGGAACAATGCATAGCTCAAATGAATTTTCTAAAGAATTCCTCTCTACACCTTGAGTATATTTATCCAAAATTATGGGTCTATAATTCTTATCATTTACGCTTACATATATCAATTTTGCTTTCATCCATAGCAAACGGTGTGGCGTTATCAACCAATCAACCAATGCTTACTTGCACACATGGATAGATAATGAACATTCCACTTGCATTTATTTAATTGATTTGGAAAAGGCAGTAAATTCCTGATGCTAAAGAAACGTACTTTAAACTTGGGTCTTGTTTTAGCGTTCCATTCTTGTGAGTAAACTTCGAGGATGACCAACTATTAGATATATTGCAAAAAAGACCTGGAAAACTATTATTGTTGTGGCCATACCTTGAATGAAGGTTTGGTGGTCTTTATGGCTGTGGTGGATCTAAAAGTCTTCTCTACTAGATGAAATCCTTCAAAACCAATCAAAATTCTTGGGGTATGAAAAGGCAACTTGTCAATACCTATACTGCAACATTTGATTTATCGCTCCATATGTATTCCACAGTCTGAGAAAAATTTAGATTATGCTTTGCCTCATTTTTCGAAAATTTAAAAATAAATTCTTCATCTTAAAAATTGGCATTAACGTATCTGAAAATAGGTGGAAAATATAGAAATGAAATNACCATGACAATCCTTTATAGCTTCACTAAAAGGGAAAAAGATTCAAATATTTGCAAAGTCCCTGTTCAGAGTCTCGCTTGTTAACTAATCCATCGCTCGACCAAGGTGAATTGATTTTAGTGCTGCTATAGTACACGGTGGGATATATTTGCTATTTTCTTCAGAAAATTTGACATTTTATCATCGTCTCAATGAATATGGTCAATATCGCCTTTTAACCAATTTTATTCATTTGTAACTTTCTAATAATAAATTCCACTTGGAAATGCTTTTAGATCAACTATAAGTTCTAGTGACTTTGCTGGCCTTTAGAACAAACAAACTCGCTATAGTCGCGCCCTCAGCGCATCATTAATTTGGAGAGAGATTGATTCATTAATTCATTTTCCAAGTGGCAAAGTTTTTTTTAAATGCCCTTCTCGAAATATGTGATATAAGGCGAATTATCACACATTTTTTTACGACATAAATCATGACTTCCATTGTTTCTATCACGCCTAACTTGCCACATCTTTTCGGAGGGTAAAATAAATATTAAAATTCACCACCTCCTCAGTGCCTGCCCCGAACTAACCCCGAGGGAGTACTTGTACAGGCACGACCAAGTGTGCAAATATGTGCATTGGTGTGTCTCAAAGCAAGCCGGCCTGGAAGCCCCAGAGAAGTGGTACGAATACCAGCAAGAGTCTGTTGTGGAGAACGTCTCCACCAAGATCTTATGGGGCATGCCTAATATTATTGACCGCAGTATAGGCTTCGATATGCCAGACATTACGATCTATAAGAAGGAGAAGAAGACCGCCCTCCTCGTAGATGTGAGCATACGAGCCGATAACAACCTCCAAGAGAAGACCAGGGAGAAGCTGGAGAAATACTCAGAACTGAGAGTGGAAGTGGAACAGTTGTGCGGAATGAAGACCACCATCGTTCCGATCACCATAGGCAAAACTGGCGTCGTCCTGAAAGACCTCAAAGGACATGTCAGGAAGCTGGATTGTGAAATCTCAATTGATATCCTCCAGCGTACAGCAATCTTGGGCACGGAACGCATCCTTTGCCGTGTCCTTCAGAATTAGGCGAGTATGAAGTCTGGGATGTGGTTCATCACCCCTCATATCTCCAAAATACCGGCAGGTGCCGTGAAAGGGATTTATTTATATATACATATACAGGTGACTCTCGTTATCCGCGCTTTCTTTGTTTCATTTTGATCCAATCAAGCACAATATTTCGCTACAATAGGATTCATTATGGTGCCAAGTATTGGCTGAGATCATAGTTCCAAAAGACGGAAATACGACTGACTGAGTCTTTTGGAGAAAGGTTATCTCCATGGGAATGAGTATAACTTTGCTTACTCTTCGGAAATGACTTGCGAAAACGGTGTTTCATTCTCCAACGCTCTTCTCTCCTGAAAACTGAGTTCATTTAATGCAAGAGAGCAGGGGTGTAGTTGATTTATTTCATTATTTTACCTGTAACTCTTCACTTCCGGTACCGCTTTAATCGAGTCAATCTACATTTTCATTTCCCCACTCGATGTCAATTCAATGGGAAACATAACGTCGGTTTCTGTGATGAACTGTCATCTTCAATTGCTAAATTTATTTATTTGGCAAAATTAAGGAAAACGGTTCGTTGGAGTATCTTGTGTCTGTGAGAAGAAAACATTATTATATGCTATTGAGTTGGTGGAAAAATTTATCAGCTCTCTAAATTTTGCTGGTTATTGCAAGAATGCTAACAGTCATGCATGAGAGGAAGGTCATTTTTTGTGGCAGTCTGTTCTTTCAGACTGGTGCCCTTTGCTACACCCTCGTTTAGTAACATTTCGACTGGCAATTCGACCCCACAAAGAAATCAGAAGGAACCATATTTTGGCTATGACTCGGGGGCCTATTTTTGGAGGTTTCTGTTGTATTTCCTTCCTAGAGTAAAACCGATCTTACAACTGTTATGAAGCAAATGGCATTTAAAAAAATTCCAGGGGGCTATCTCCTGGAGAGATACATTATTTTTTTTGCACATGATTTACAATCAATATCTAACTCAAATTACAATCACGTGTAAGGTGCATTTGAGAGTTACTTCACATGCCATTCTTTTGGATGCCTTATGTCTTCCCATGCAACTCTTACTCCTAGTCTTCATGTCTAGTTTCACTGAATGTAGCCCCGTGTAGTTTTCGGTCGCTTGCTTCAAAAGAAATGATGTTAATAACCAACTGGGTAATAGTAAATATTGTCATTGCCATGATGTTTTCAAGTAGGAATAAAATAGTTTATATATTAAGAATAATATTAAATATTAATTCCATCTTTTCCTATTTAGCCAGTGTCGTGGGACGTGTGGTGGCATTACATGCTAGAGTTTGGATTCTACATAAGCCAGTCACTGATGCTACCTTTCGACGTGAAGAAAAACGACTTCCTCGCACAACTAGCCCACCACGAGGTCACCATCGGACTTATGATGGGATCCTGGATCAGCAGTAATACCGAAGTCGGCTCCATCGTACTCTTGGTCCACGACTGTGCCGATGTCCTCCTCCAGGTCTAGCAATCGTCCATTCAATACACCAACATGCTGTTTTTCCTTAACAATTCCAGCAATGAATGCACGCCTGAATCTCCTGAATAGATGTATTTGTATGGAAACCAGTGATATGGTACTTTTCCCATTCATATTTCTTGTCTTTACAAAGGAATCCAGTCCCCTGACTTATGTTGGATATTGCAGACGAAGCGCAGTCATTCTTCGTAAATAAGTGGGAATTATCTTCTGCCAATCCTCAGTGTGGCAAGCTGTTGAAATACTTCAAAGCACCAGACCCAGACACCACCGTCAGGAAATTCTTTGTGATCTTCTCGGCAACTTGGATCCTCACCAGAGTAATCTACTTCCCCCTCTATGTTAACATCTCGTGAGTTCTCCACCCCTCCGCCTGCATGAAACCAAGGTCCTTTTAATGACTAACTCTTCCTCACGGCAGGGCCACAAAAGCCCTCCTATACTTGGATAACTTCTACTTCGTCAACATCGTCCTTGTCCTGCTTCTCTGGTCCCTGTTCCTTCTGCATCTCTACTGGACTTACTTGCTTCTTCAAGTCATCTACGGCATGGTCTTCCACAAGGTCTCTCTCGTCTGTTGACATTTTTTATATCTTTAAAATCTTCAAGATGAACATGATTGCATGCCCACCAGTGAAAAAAACCCATTGACCTCTTCCAGCAGGAGTTGAAAGACATCCTAAAACGAAACCAAAATGTAACATTTCTACGAAAAATATCACGGCATTCCTGGACGAAGAATAAAATTCGGTTTCCATTTCATTTCGGGAATTTGACGAACTGCAGAGATTTTTAATACTTTTCAATATAACATGAGAATTATAATGTTTCTTTCCATACGACGACAAGCAGGCATGAAGTCCAATGTTTTCCATTCACAAAAATTTGACATGCTTTCTATGTATTTGTAAAAATGAATTTGTTATATTGCTTTTAAAGTTTGCCAGCTCAACTGAATAGCAGCTGACAATTACACCTAATATTTTAAATGCAATATTTTAACATAATTGTTTTCCTTATGTATATGGAATATGTAACAGAAAAAAGCCTATTAAATTAAAAATTCGCTGAATTGTTACCTCAAAAAATTATCCAGATGCCAGGTACTCGAAATGCCTTGAGAAATTTCAAACACTCCCACAGGCAAACTTTTCAAAAAATGAAATGGAAATGATTTTTTGCAGAACTGTAGGAGTCGTTTTCTTGGAAAATAATTATTTTCACGATAACCTCACCCCAACTTATATGTCATACTTGGACAGATTATGCATTTAAATTTTGTCTATAAATGCAGGGAACGGGAAGATCCTGAAATTGCGCCAGATTTTTGGCTACATATTTTTCACTCAGTATTCGATATTATCAGTACCAAAATTACATTTGGGTCGTTTTGGGAAGCTTCAGCGATTTTGATGAAGTGTATCATCATTTTCGGTTGTTGAAAACTTGTTAAGTCATTCATTTCTATGAGCTCAATTTGCCAGTTGATTACTAATGCAATAATGACCGTAAATTCTGAAGTCATTCAGTAAATATTCGCATGAGATAGGTTAATCTTTCTTCATTTTGATTCTCGCGAGTGATCGTTAGAACTGATTACAACGATTCCTCAAGGGCGCCAAGGTTCCTTTAATCATGACCTGTTGAAATAAAACTAAATTCTAGGATGAGATGGTGAAATTCGGATGAGAGGCTCCAGCGACTAAATTCATTTCCAAATCTCGAAACGCTTGACGCATAAAAATCAGTTGTCCAATTGAGAAATTGAATCTGAGAAACTCCAGGGAAATTGAAGTGCATGAAGGTGTATTGAAATATTCAGTAAAAAAGAAAGTAACAAATATGAGTAAGAAACCTGTTTGGAAGCTAATCAATCTATGCACATTATAAGAGTATTATTTCAGGTAATGCTAGAAATTCCGTTAAGCAAAAATGGACTATTCGGTTTTGCGCAATTTCCGCGGAGGCCTCGATTACATTTTTCCCATTTCACTTGTCAGAAGGGTCTGGGAGCTTTCATGAATTTTCCACGAAAATTCACTTCGAAAAAGAACAAATATTAGACAAAATCTTTGTCACCGCATATAACTCAAATAACCCTGCACGACATTACACGTGAAATGTATGCAGCGAAATCACACGAATAACATGACACGAATTCTCCAGCAATTTCTCTCAAACTAACTCCGTTATTCATCTTGTAATGCATATCACGAAACACATGTAGAGAAATATTTGTGAGATGACTTTTCCTCAGCTTCTTTTTTTAGCGCTTTTTTTTAGCTTTTTTTTAGGCTTTTTCCCTAACTTAATGCGTTATTCTCGACCAGGGCTTGTTGTGAAAGCCTGCCATCGTCATGCCACGAATTTGCGAAAATATTTATTTTTGTGAAGTTCCGTGATGATCACAAAATTTGTATCATTATCTTGCTGCTGCCATCAAATAATCTGATATCATTTAATGAACATTGCATTTGCACTCAAAATAGCTTTTACCACCACAATTTCATAGCATTTTATGTGTAAATTTTAATCGAGTGAAAATGTGTACCCGAAATAACGGATCGTGCTACTTACCCATTCTCCTTAAGTTATTTTAGCTTCATTTCCTTTTTCTCAAATTCTCCACGGTCCACCTATACTTTCGCGATCCATTTCCTGATCATTTTCCTTATAGCAGCAAAGAATTTCATTGCAAATGATTCATAGTCGAAATCATTAACCAAATGCATATCCACGTCTTGGTGCTTCCCCACTCATAATATTAATATTTCCCTTCTCATCCTGAAATTGCGCTGCCTATCGATGACATTCTCTGAGAGCATCCTCTTACCCTTCAAGATATCTAACTTGGTTTTCCAAGATCCACATTGCTCTAAGATCGGGCGGATTTTTATATTTCCTTTCTTGCCTTTCATTCGTTTTGGGGCTGACCTGTGGAGGCGCTTCCAGGGCAAATTTCTCTTAACAAATCTCAAGTACTCTCTTCTTCAGCATGCTCTCGTTCTCTCTATCATCTTCCGGGAACTCCGTGAAAGAGCACATTGTTCTCACTCAGTTGCATATCAATTCAAACTAGTTGTTCTGTAGGTCTGCTGGCGCTTTCCACGCTTTGTCATGATGTTCACCAACGACTATAAGTCGTGATCGAAGGTGTTTGATTCCATTCTGTGCTCAGATGTTTCTTTTTTTACGTCGCTCTGCTTTTGTTCCAGCTGTTGCAATCTTGGTTATATTTCACGTAAGAGCTTGCTTATTTCTTCGGTCACATTGTCGCTGACTTGCTTGATTTCGGTTCTCAATGACTTCATCTCCTTCGATAAGTTTTCGAGTAACACTTCCAGCGATTTATTCTGTCCCATATTAGCAGACGATACACATACCTTACATAAGCCCACAATACATTACCGCTCTGTACCGTTAGGGGGGAAGACATAAGCAGAAAGCAGTACATCTTGAGGAGTACAATTCAAGAATTTGTCCCAAGTCCCTGATCCTTACGTCCACGCGGCAGCACTCTCATTGGAAGCCGACGTGCATTAGTAGTATTAGCAAAGTATTAATAAATGTATCCCCGCCCCCACTCATTATGATGTGTCCTCCCCTCTCCAGGTCCAGACTATGCGGGTTTACGTTTTCCTTCATCTAAGGAGACTTCGTTTCACACACTTTCCAGAGAGATTCCTTGAAACACTGTACGAAGTAGCCACCTCAAGTGGACCTACAGGGTGGACGGGATAGTCCCGTCCTATTTTATGCGATATTTATGCGATAATTGAGAACACTTCTTTTATGTAAAAAAAGAAGTTTATTTCAACAGTTTACAGCTTGTATATGTTGCTGGACATGCAGGGGAACATCATCTACTCAATATAGCCACCCTCCTCTTTAGCCACCTTGTCCACGCTGCCCCTGAAGGCATCGTACACCTACTTGATGTACTCGGGCGTCATCCCCGCCCAGGCAGCCCTGATGGAGTCCTTGAGGGCCTCCACATTCTTGTGGCTGTGTGTGCAGGCATTCTCCTGCATGTGATTCCAGATACTGAAATCCAGCGGATTCAAATCCGGCGAGGATGGCGGCCAGAAGTCCTTGGGCCAGAACCTGTGGCCGAGCTCCCGGACCAGTATCTCCTAATTTTGTAGTCAAGAAAATATTATTTAATACGCATTGACTCTAATACACAATCATGACGTCCTCTCATGAATTCGATATTGGAACAACCTAGGCAGCACAATATGTTTCGGGAATACGTACTGTTTCAGAAAGTCCGCCATTTCTGGTCAGAGTGAAAAACCAAGCGCTCTTCTGGAAGTTCCCAAGACATACAGAACGGGTCTAGAATCTTGAAAATTTCTAGGAAGGCTGAGCTTCGATGCAAATCGAGGGTTTTTAAATAAGAAACTTCTGTGAGGGAAAGACGCCATGCTTTTTTTTTTAGGGACGGTCATTACTTATTGAAGTAAAGATAGGCTAATTCATGAAAAAGTCGGAATGAAATTCCCTTGAAATGTGTTTATGCCAACCTTTTACATGGCATCATTTTTCATCGAACTTCTCATCAAATATGTCGCGTTCTCACGGAAGAACAATGCAAACATTAATATTTAGCCTAAATGCAAACAATACAGATAATAAATGCTTAAATTTATTTTTGGTCAACCCCATGGCTGTAATTAAATAGGGAAACCTTCGTTGTATACTAATCAGGAAGGTTCAAAAGATCTCCCAGTGGAATTTCGACGATTCGGAAAAGAAAGTGCTTCAAGTGTTCTAGTTGTTATTTCTAATTTCGATGATGGTAACTAAATTTTTTACAATTCGACTAGAAATCACCCAAGAAAATGTAAACCCTGAGAACACCGGTAGAAATGTCGAAATCGAATGAAACTCATCAGCTTGGCTGGACTAAAAGAAAGATGTACTCTCCGAAATCAGGTCACGTCCATGACCATCAGACGCTTATGTGACACGATTCTCATCGACGCCTGGGCATGACGTCACAAAGATAGTTGAGTATCACCATGACTTGTCTTCATCGCTATGCAAGGAGAAAAAGGAATCGCGAATTTGAATAGTCGCTGCTAGGTGTTTCATCAGTAGGCTCCTCCATCGCAATCACGAGGTGAACTGATTTATTTTTGTCTACAGCATTGCTTGGTGACGATATTTTGCTTGTAAATAGTTTTAAACTTCATAATCGCGTTACGTAAAATGATCAATTTCCTTATATTCGTCATTTTTGGAAATGAGGTAGTTCACATGGAAAAGTCCATATCGGAATGATTTTAGAACCTGAAATATAAAATAGTACCACTCGCGATTTAGACGAAGAATAATTATTACGTGTTTAAATATTTAACCATGTAGCAAAAACCTTGGAATATCGATATTTTTCATTTTCTACATCCGGTTGTAAGACGTCATTGTCATCCTATTTTCACCAATCATTAAGCAAGTGTAGTAGGCTTTCATTTCCTCACTAAATACTCCGTTAAATGTTTTCCGTCTTACAGAGCCATTTACGGCACTTGCGTGAGAATATTATTCCTTCGGGCGAAAATATATATGGCCACCCATA